TTTAGCCTCTTCTATCTCTTTCCTTCTGCTGACCATTTTAAACACCGCTATGATAATAGAGCTCATTCTTATCCATCTCTTTGAGTATTAACCGGTGTTCTGTCAGGTGAGAATACCCCGTCAGACCAGCTTACCCATAGTCAATACGCATGCGCAACACGTCAGATTTTCATACGCGTATACTAGTCCAGTTTATCTCTTTAGTTTTGTATGAAAAATATACTTTAAACAACCTCGATGGGCGTGCATCCCTTTTTTATGTACAAAAAAAACCAACAAAAAAAAAACTATTTAAGGTCAGATCGCCATACGTAAAAAAAAAACACCGAAAAGAAAGATATTAAATAGTTTTTCTGTACATGCCTAAAGGGATACACACCCGTTTAGGTAGTTTAAGGTGTATTTTTCATTATGGTTGGGAATTAATTAAATTTTCCCGATTCCGATTCTCTTATTGATTCTGTGAAACAGTGAGCTTGGTAAGTGCACGGTGACATTCGTCTACCATCACCTGGGACATTCTATTTCTGCCTGCCTCGGTGAAAACAGAAGGCAGTGAACAGGAGCTGCCAGCCTCTGAGCCAGCCAGGCGACCCGTCTCCTCACAGTCATCTAAATCTAATGGAGAAGGCATCTATCTAATGAAAAAACATTACTGTAATATTTCGGAAAATAAACTAATCTCCCCTGATTTACATAAACGAGGGTCACCTTTCTCTGGCTCCCTGAACTGTGGAGCATCTTCGTAGCATGTACAGTATATACATTTTTCTAAGCTCCATATTTGTTTGAAAATTTTTTCTATAATCTTTTTGCTGATGTAAACACAAGAATGTTCCCATTCCGGGAGTATTTTCTATTCTATTTTCTTTTCCATTTACTATGGGTATGCTGATCTGACAGAACACCGGCCTTCCTGTCATCATCCTAATCTTCAACTTCCTCCACAGATTTTATCAATATTACTCAGTCAATAAGGAGTATGGATATAATGTAAAACGTTTCTTTTCCTCCAATTATGTATATAAAAATATTTGTCTGTTGTTTAGCTTACCTCCGTGTGTCTTTGATGAAGAGCATTGTATTCCCTCTTGAGCTCTGCTTCTCTCTCCTCAAATCTGCTTACTACGAAAACAACAAAACGTTTCAAAATATTAAACAGAGCAAACTTAAACCACAATTACTGCTAATATTAACGATGAATACCGTAGTATTTACTAAGTGAAAAGCCTGTGTAGTAGTAGTGTAGTAATTAAACCAATTTGTTGTTATACCAACATACTCCAGCAGAGGGTGACATTGTACCAAAAATGTCTTAAAACTTGATGAAAAGATCAGCAGCTTGTTTTCTGTAGGATGTGAGTTATTGGAACAAATACTTTAACTTATTAATTCCTCCAATGTTTTAAGCCATGATGGTCTTTCAGTTTTTCTTAATTTTGACATTGCATTCTAGTGTTTTCAGCTCCTTTGTTTTTTAATAAACGCATTATAAAAATGTATCTGATTTTGATCTTAAAAACCTTAATAGATAAGACTCCCGTTTATTTAATTATAAAAAAAATTATACACAAAGTATGACAATCTAGAACAATAATAAATGAGTAAAGCCATTGAAACTGTAAATAGGTCAGAAACAGATCAAAGCCATTAGAAAATTGACTTACATCCAGAACATCCGCTCTCTGGCGACCTTATTTATTTTAAAGCAAAGCAGCTGTTATCATTCAGCTTCACTCATCTATTCTATCAGAGGTAAACATCAAAGTCTTCCCCATAAGTCTGTGGCATAGTGAGACCTGTAACAGGTCTTGGATCCTGTCAGGCTGAGCAGCGCCAGGTTCTGCTGTGGTTCTGAAAGCATCTACTGTAGTTATGGAAAGTGAAATTCTGCATCTTTTTGAGGAAGAAGATTAAAAACAGAAGAGCAAAAATAACTTGATCACCTGAACCTCAGAATGCCCCTTATGCAAAATGGACCCTGGCTGGTAACCAGTATGAAAGTGTTATTAAAAAGTTGTTCCATGACAACTTTCAAAGAGTTTAATGAAACATCTCTCACAGGGGAAGAAAGAGAAGAACTTTTTTTTTGTCGAACATGATACTCCCCTCCCCAACCCGTTTCTGACAGCTGCATGCTGGCAGCTGTCAGAAACGGGTGAAAACAAACACATCTTTTCTGTTGGTACCAACTAAGGTTCTACTCAGGTTTTAGTTTTTATTTTATACCAAAACTGTTAATAATTTCATTACCTGCTTGAAGTTTCAATTAGTCTAGTCGTGCTGGTAATTATTCCTATTTTTTTTTTTTTTTTTTTTTATGAACAAAGAACCTGAGATCGTTGCTTGAGCTGCAAGTAAAATCAACATATCTGATTACATGCACACACATTCATTACAGACAAATGTGACACTAATTTGGGTGCATATTCCAGCAATTTTTCCCAGAATTCCTTACATTTCTCCAGCTGACGCCTCAAAGCAAAGGTAAATATCTCCATCCATTAAATTTCCTGAATGATCCCATGCCACTGGTCAAATGATGGCGGATCTAGTTGTAACCATCTCCTGGTTGTGGCTTTCCTTCCACTTGCCCCAAGTATCTAACCTTATACAAGACTGTTTTAGGAGTTTTACTGAGATACAGAGTGACAGAAGAATAATCTAAATCCTATTATTTCATTCATCTCAGGTGGCACCTCCCTCCAAAATAACTGATTTTCTGCCAAGCCTAAAACACATGAAAGTGGTTAGCCATAGGAGTACCATATTGTCTCCAACAGAAGCCTTGGCTCTGGGCGCCTGTTCGTAATGCTTTTAATTTAGGAATTATGAAAAATCTCGCTACATTTTTCCTGCCAAACTCTTAAAGCCCTCTAATTTGCATTGGTAGTTTGTTTCTCACATATTTCTATCCAGGTCTCATCTGATATTTGTGTTTATAACTCCTTCTCCCATGTTTCCTTAACGTGCAATGAAGAGCGGCTTTTAAAGGCTTGAATACTTCCATATAGTCTTAAACAGCAACTTTTTAGTCTTTCATTTTATATAGTTTACAAAATTTAGAGATTATATTGTATTTCCACTTCTCTTTGATTTGAAATTTCTTATTTTAATAATCCTAGACTTGCAGCTTTCAATGATAGTCCTGCTTCTCCAATATAGATGTGGCTGGAATCCAATCATAACTCTTAAATTACCATTTAATATCTTATAAGGGAAGTAAGGGATGTGATCCCTCTCCTAACCCACTGCTTAAAGCCCCATTCCATGCTGGCATGTTTAAATTCTTGATGAAATGCTTTCCAATTCAAGATTCTGACCTGCTTGTCTTTAAGTACACTGATAGCATAAACTAGAGCATAAGAGTTTATTCAGTCCACTGATTTAAACGGTTATATCTTCTAACTTGGTTTTTATTCCCTACTATAGACTGTATTGGATTGTTTAGCTGAGTAGTTTCCAATCATTTCCATTTAGATTCATAAACTGGAGACCACAAGTGTATTAAGGGTTTCAATTTTGCTTCGTAAAATTAATCCTGTAAATGTGGTGAAGCTCTCCCTCCTTTTTGTTTTAGCGGCAGAGTCGAACCTGGAGATCCAGGCAGTTTATTCCTCCAACTGTTTTAAGTAGGCAGAGATTGGAAGAGATAAATAAGCCTTGGCATGTTAATTTTAATAATTTATATTATATTACTCGTATCCAGTGGGAGGAGCGTCTAGAATGTGATCTCTTTTTTAATGGGACCATAATTATATTGCAAAAGTTTTGACATATCCTTTGTCAGGTTTATTCCTAAGTATTTTATGTTGGGAGATTCCCATGAAACATGATGTTTCTCAGGAAATCTGGGTGTAGAATATTGTATAGAAGCTTAAAATCTAAAAAAAAAAAAAAATCTAACCCTGACATTTAACTGAGTATAAATTATATATTTTTTTAGCAGAAATATCAATTTAGAGATGCTTAAGTCTGGGTTTGTGATAAAAAGTAAAACATTATCAGCAAACATAAGCAACTTATGTTCTTCTCCTCCAATAATTTATCCCAGAATCCTCTCTAATTGCTTGAGATAAGGTTCAATAAATAATGCGAATAGGGTTGGACTCGGCAGACAGTCTTGGTGTGTCCTCCTTTCCATATGAATAGTTTGTGATAGGTAACCATTAACCCTGATCCTTGCTGTTAAAGAAAAATATAATTCTCTAACACATTTAATAAAACCATCCTATATATATTTCTTTTTTTTTTCTTATGCTACTCCATAGAATAAAGAACAATAGTTCAGCATTTTTGCTGTTATCACCTGGCAGCCCCATTGTGGAAACATGAGGCTAGAAAAAGCCACGTGCAGCACATTCGCTAACAGCACTTAAATCCAGCGATGCGCCGATCCGATACCTGGAGCAGATATTGGCTGCAATACTGATGGATTTGATATCAGAGATCCAGTTAACTTTACATGGAACTGTTAATTTTTGTTTTTGCTACATATTTTTTTATAAATAATATAAAGTACATTTATATCTGTGTTCATTTGTTAACTTTTCTTGATCTTCATGTCGAGGCTAAAGCCTTCACTCACATGCAAAGATAAATAGTTCATTTATTTATTTATTTAAAAGATTAATCAGATCAGTATCAGATATCGGCTGATACGCTCAGCCCAGGTATCGGATTGGATAAAACTGGATCGATGCATTTCTACAATTATTGTATTATTATTGTGATCTTATAACAACTGACTGTCAAAATAAAGACTGGATGATTTTGCCTAAAAAGGAAAACTGAAGTCATTATTAACAAATATTGCAATTGTAAATTTATCTTAATTTTCATTCCCACTAAGAACAATCATTTAAATGTTTCACTGCAGGGTTTAGGTTTTTTTCATGACTTTGAAAGCTTGCCTTTCCGTTGTTGCAGGACTTGACTGTAACCTTTGTGCGAAAAAGTGCTAAATTCTTCTTGCATGCATCAATCTGTGTGCTACCTCTATGTCTCTCTTCATTAATTTCCTCATTGTGAGATCAATTAAGTTTCATTTCATTTCTGAGTGGTTGCAAACCCACTTTAAGCATATTACTGCCATCTAATGGGCTGGAGGGATTAAATTTAGTTACTTTACTTGTTAAATGTAATATGACCATATTTGAGGACATCTATGATTTAAAAATTTGTGTCGTTTTTTTTAATAATTGCGATCACAATGCAATTGTACGGGAGAAGATTAGGGCCAGCGAAAAAATAAAGTGTTAACTAATTTTTATATTTTATTTCAGTTTAATATGGGAGACAATTCAGAATTCTTAGATTAGAGTCAAACTCCTGAGAAAAAAAGTCAGAATCGTGAGATTAAAGTCAGAATTCTGACTTTTTTCTCGTATTAAACCGAAAAAAAAAAAAAAATCTGTTAACTTACCGGTATTTTTTTTTCAGTGGCCCTAATCCTCTTCAGTACAATTGATTGTCCAGCCTTATTCAAAATTAGACAATTATAAAAATAAAATCAGAATAGCCTTTTAAAATCGGTCAGAAAACTACAATCAGTGACCCCCTACATCCAATCTCTGACAACAAATAAATCACCTAAAACAGCACAAGCCTTTAACTCAAATTAGTTCACTTTTATTTTGTGCTGACAGCAACCTAAGCTTCACTTAAACAAGACATAATGTGTTTTTTTCAGTATTTCAAAAAGCCCAAAGCAAAGCCTCGGCATCTCCAGTCGAATAATAGACAGTAGGTGTGAAAGATGACGGCAGCCTGTGGAGTTCAGGGGTGAAGCCATTTTTCAAGCACTATGTTGTACACAAGTAGGTGTTAGGTGATGAATCAGAGGCAAAATTCCCTAACTTCTGTTTGTCCAGCTCTGTGTCAGTCTGCGTTTAGGTTAGCCACAGTACAGCTACACAGACCAAGTATCTGGATGCCTTCTAGTTACATGAAGAAAGGATCCATTCATCGAAACACAAGCTGTAACTTCAGAGGTTGAAAAAAAAGAAATACTCCCAAACTGAAAAAAGGAAGTAACACATGAGTAGAAATAAAAATCCTTTTTCTAATTTCCCCTACAGCCGAATACTGACAGCCGCATGCGGTCTAGCTCGTCGTCAACAGTGCAGTCATGCAAGCATCATGAGGGTTGTTTTTTTTTCATCCTGCATAAAAACACCATGACTACACCGTCTTATCTTTAACTGATTCTATTTTCTGCTTCAGAAGCAGCACACATGATGAACACCGTATGTACATTTCAGTCAGATGATTGTTGTTTTCATCAAAGAAGAAAGAAAAACTTGAAGGAGACAAAGAGTGATGGCACTGAGCTAAAGGTAGCAAAGCGTCCAGAAACACGATCTGGGGTAGAAAGGGACAAACTTAGCTGGATTTACATCAAAGAGGTGTTTAAAATGAAGTCAGAGGAACAGAGATATTTAAAAGGTAGATTCTACAGGTCTTCTTTTTCAGCGGGAAACTAAAAGAAAGAACGCTTAACAGGAGCAGATAGGCTGTTTTAGCTTTTAATCTGATACAGATGATTTCAGATTTGGATATTTAAGCCTCGTTATGGATCAGAACCTCTAAAGGCTGATTTATACTCAGACACCAGGTCATCTGCGTGTGTGTCGCAGTGAACGCAGATATGCCCCCGCAGGCACTCTGGTGCACCTCTCTCAAATTGTAGGTGACCGTGGACAGAAGGCCTCTGATTGGTCAAATCTACATCCCCTCTCCTCTATGCGTATTTCCTGTTTGGTACCTTACCAGCTTGTTTTGTTTGTATTACCGCCATTGTGGAAAACGACTCGTGAAGATGGACGGGCTAGAAGAGCGAGGTGCACGAGAACGCTAGGACCCTTGTTCCACCTGGATCCCCGCCCTCATGTCCCTCCGTTGTCGTACAAACCTGCCCCCTCTTCCTCACCGCCTCGGCCCTATCTAGACCCACAGCTAGTTTGTGATTTTCCCTCTTGCGTTGCGGCGTGGAATAACATAGCGCAGACCACGCTTCAATATTGGGTATAAATCCAAAATATCTGCAACAAGCTCACTGCGACGCACTGCTACGGGCCCTTAAGACATCTATCCTTTTTTAATATAGTAATAGTTAGCTAAAACAGTCATCAAACCTCAAATTGATCAGTACATGACCCTAAAATGAACCCCACTGATGGAGAATGTATTTGTGAGACAGCAGTGCTCCTTTTATGTGAGTAAAAATGGACGCTGATGTCTCTGTATCCTCTTTAAGTCTTTAATTAATGGGATATTATGACTGCATCATAACGAGAGGCAATGAAAACAGCCAAACAGCAGCAGAGAACCAACCTCTGCTATCAGAGTTTACTGCTGTGAGCTGGGAACATGTTAGGCAGCTTTACACAGAGTTGGTGAACGCATCCCCCCCCGCTGCTGGTAGAGCAAGATGACAGTCACAAGGAATCTGTTGAATGTAACTGGTTGTTTTACAGCGTTGGCTTAACAAGTTACTGAAGCAGAAAGCAGTGGACTTACTCTGATCTGCATAGTTCTTTGCTTTTAGCTCTAGTTGTCGTGCGTGGGACTCAGAAGTGATCAGTCGACACTGGAGATCTTTTTTCTCCCCATCTTGAGAGTCTTCTAAGGCAATGTATTTCTGCAGAGGAGAGAAAGACAGCAGAGGCAGACATTTTAAAGTTAATGCAAAGCCAGTGAGCCTTTGAACGTCCAGCAGCAGACCGATGATTGGTTTAGGAGCCAATTAAGTATTGAAAACTTAGGAGCTGTTGAGTTTTATCAGTCTGGCATGAGTCAGAGGGACGCTGAAGTCACCTCCATTGATCATATGTAAGAATAACTATTATGGCCCAAAACTGCCTTTAGTTTTTATATAAAATAATTTTTAAATGCAAATACTAAGATAAATACCTGATAATATCAAAATTCTTATCACATCAAGGCTTTTTTTTCAGGCAAAGACATCTTTCTAATAAAGGACCGTATGACTATATATATATATACACATATATATATCCTCATACTCAGGTGATACTCATTGAAAAGAAGAAAATGGGTTAAATCTGGCTCTTTGTTTGGTTCATTTGCGCTGATGCATCATCTGATCAGCTCAGTCAGGTGTCTCCAGCCATGCCTGTAAACCGTGTCTTGTGATGCGGATGGTCTCTGAAGAAAAGAAGCCCTGCAGTCTGTGTGCCGAGGAAGGAAAACTATGGTCACCTGGGCATCAGAGGACAATGCAGAGCACAGCTCACCCACAGCAGAGGTTTAGAAGGAATCTTATTTTAGGAATCTTATATAAAAAATAAAAAAAATGACTGTCAAAAGACTCCAACTATTTCCAGTGGAGCACGCTGACCTCTGCCTGTATTGTATCTAAAAGTTCTGCTTATGGGACAAGAGGGCTAGGAATCTCCTGGGAGGATTGGACCTCACCTCATAGCTGAATCATCCAAAGATGACAGGATAGTTTTAGCTTCACCTGATTTAAACCTTTTGCCAACTGATTATTAATCCAATAATTGAGAAAGCACTCAAAATATAAATGAGTTAGTAAAATAATCATGAGTTGCAGCCCTGGAAGTCACTGACTCCTTTTCCATTTGCAATAATAAATATTTGAACATCAAATGGACGGAATAACTTGTTGACTGGAAAAAAAAACAAAAAAAAGATTTGATGTCATGTCAGCAGACCAGCTTGTTCCTGGTGGCAAATAGGTCTCATATTGCTGAAAGGACGATTAAAGTCATATCTGTCCTACCAACAGATTCCTCCACCTGAGCTTTTGGGATCTGTAACTCATCCAGAGTTACCATGACCTCTTCTGCTGCTTCTAAATAAATCGATGCAACTAGCTGCAGCCAAGTGGCACTCTTCTTATTCAGGTGACGGATGAATTAATGTTCTGTCATATCCAACCACTGTTCTCTCATTCCCACCTGATGTGTTCCTTATTTTTCACCATTCTGTTCTCTAAAAAAATCTGTGAGGACTTCACAGAACAGCTGGATTTATGCTCCCGTTAAATCACACAAAAGACGACTACTGAGCAGGCAACTGCAATCAGACGCAGACGATTTTATTGAGGGGCGTCAGAGTAAAAAAGGCTGAATCTAAATGCTTCCCAATAACGTTCTAAAATGTGGAATAAAAATAGTGATCCCTGCATTTTACAAATACATGCTGATTAATGTTTTTTTTTTTTTTTTTATTTAAAATCCCAATAAGGTAGATAGCAGGAAGTGGTCTTATTACAAGGAAAATGTTTATGAAAGAAAAGTGGCACGGTGCAGCTGGTCCATTTGGACCAGTAAAGGATTTTGAGAGCATTAGCTCAGAGCTAACCTCAGTTATAGGGACACTGTTGAAAAGTTAATCAATGTTCTAACAATCAACAAATACTTAAACAAGAAACTCTGAAAGCAGAATCAGCAACCTGAGCATCAAAAGTGTCTTATTGGTGCCACACATTGATACGTCGATCAACAGCGACACGGCCATTAGTCGAGCTCCGGCACGCTGCTCCTCATATGACCCAACATGAGAACATGTGCGTCTGAAAATGCCTGAGAGAATAAGTGTCCAAGCATTTTAACATGCTCTCTTCTACCAACACAGCATGTATAATGCTCTCTTTGTCGCTGGGCGCCACACACACACACTCACACACACACATGCTTCCAGAACAAGTGTGTGTACTCCGTCCAGACAGGACTCCACTGTATAGGCAGTCAATTGACAGAGAGGCGAATCAGCTGCATACTGCTCCTTGGACATTCATGACAGCGGCTGCAGGAGGTCTCTGACATCTGCACCAATGAACTGAGACTGGATGTCTCAGCGTCACCTTCATCAAAGATGGTTCTTGGTAGGTTTTATTAGCTTGCAGGGTGGAGAAATAATCAGGTTTGGAGGAGAAGAGCAAGTTCTCCAGATTATTTTCCAAATAACCAAAAGCCAGATTGGGTCTGCATCCTTACCAGGCAGTTTGGTAGGTTGGGCATCATTTGAGTTTGAATGATTTCGACTCCTTGTCTCAATTCTCAATCCCCATCCCTACAGTTCAGGTGGACATACACCGACTTTAAGGCAGACGTTTTTACAAATATATAAATATAAATAAATAAAATCTCCCCGAACTAAGAGATTTGCATTAAAGACCAACTTAACTAAACCTAACCAAAATGACTACTGGGAAAAATAGATAACGAGCAACAAATATCCCAATATACAAGTGGAACCGAAACAATCACTCAATAATTATTGCAGCCCAAGTATCGACACTGCAAACAGATCTATTGCTCAGCCCTAACCTAGAAATCAAAGCTGCACCACCAAGGTTTAAACATAAAGTCAGGTATATAGTCACACTGAACATGCACAAACAAATCAAACCTGAGAGTATCAGCCACACGTCAGTCTAACTAATGCTATTAAATTACAACCATTACATCTGAAAATGGTGCAATAATAGTTTTCATGCATTATTTTATTGCAAAGAACTCATAGATTATATTAGTTTTAGTTCCCAAATTACAGAATAACAGACCATGTCTCAAAATCATTTTATTTTATTATCCTGTTATTAAAGATCTCTTTTTGTTAAAGTGAGAATTAAAAATGGAAGGAGCTTCCATGTTGTAGCTGAGTCAGCATCTGCAGAGCCATTTATAGTAGCACAGGTTGAGTCATACATGTAGAATGGTATTTTCTTATGTCCATTTTCTACAGAATAATAAAAAATGCAGTTTTTCTCTAGGTTTTCTTAGAGGTTTTAAATGATCTGATTTGATTAAATCTGAATGAAATTTCCACCAATTAGCCACAGAAACTAAGTCACAGTTAATAAAGAGATAAAATGGGTAAAACCCTCAGTTATTGTACCATTGTGCTCATCTCCAGGCGACTGTCAACAGAGGCCTAACCGCATTTTGGGAACCATTAAAATGATTGTTAAAGGTTTAAATGATGAAATTATACCCAGCAGAGTGTCGTTAAGTGTTCGGCAAAGAGCCAAACAAAAGGACCTCAGGGAAGTTCTGTTTTTCCTAAAGAATTTCCTGCCGTGCCTTTTCCTCCCCTTGGCTGAAACAAATCAGTTTGGAGAAGTGTTCCTCTGAGCTGGGAAAAGGCAGCGTTTAGCAGCCAACACTGTTTGGTAACAGGGATCAATCATTGTTGCCCAAATAGCCTCCATTTAACACCAAGGCAATGCATGGCTAAGCTAATACGACCAAAATGCATCAATCCCGTGTCTCATATGTCGTAGAAACATCTGCTATGGCCTGCTCAAGTGAGTCATAGAAAGAAAATGGGGGTCATGTCCTGCGTTTCTGCAGGATCCTGCTGCGTACCGACCTAAGGAGATGGAGAAGACTGTTTAGACTGATCTGGTGCGTACGGAAGAGGATTATAGGGCCACTGAAAGAAACAAAAAAAGTTGACTGATTTTTAAGTATTATTTCAGTTTGAAAGGGGAAAAAGTGAGAGTTCTGACTTTTGTTTCTCAGAATGATGACTTTTTTCTCAGAATTCTGAGCGATGACACTATTTCATTAATTGAAGAGCAGAAGGTGATTAAAACAAGAGAACAGACATGGCTACAGCTTGATGCTAACATGTGTGTTAGCTGTCAGAATTCCGTCAGAATCTGAGAAAAAAAGTCAGATTTCTGAAATTAAATCAGAATTCTAAGATGAAAGTCAGAATTCTAGGGGAAAAAGGTCAGAAGTCTGAGAAAAAAAGTCAGAAGTCTGAGAAAAAAAGTCAGAAGTCTGAGAAAAAAAGTCAGAAGTCTGAGAAAAAAAGTCAGAAGTCTGAGATTAAAGTCTGAGTTTAAACTGAAATAAAATGTAAAAATTTTACAGAAAAAACAAAAGTTTATTCAGTAAAATTTTTACATTCTAATCCTCCATAGGTGCAAATGACGACCTGATCATCAGTTGTTAAAAACACACTCCAAAAGACTTGGTTATCTGTAAATGACCCACTTAGACAAGCTGCTAATTTCTGTTTATTAAACAAATTCAAAGCATTCATCATTAGGACTTCCTTAAACTGCTTGTTTTTGTGTATTCAAGATTAGAACATGTTCGTTTAATAAAGCAGAAGATTGTTAGAGATCCATTTATGTCACCAACTCTAAAAGGGAAGCTAACGGTGATGAAGTAGGAACTTCTTCCACCATATTCAGTCATACTGGAGTCATAGCTGCCCTGCCTGCTTTAATTCCCTCACAAAATCCAAAATGCAATAGTGACTCATTGCTGTCCTAAGGACGCACTCAGCTCCTGAAAAAGCACCATGGTTTGAAAAAAAAGAAGAAAAAAAAGGATTTAGCTGATGCCCTCTGACATAACTTCTGCATTCACATCACCCACATCAACTTATTTTCTGTCTCAGCTCATGAGATAATGCATCCGATTGTTTATAATATGACTGCCAATAGGAGATTAGCTGAGAAATTAAATAATCTGACAAATTTTCAGTCTGACCAAACCTCACAGAATCTCAAAAATCCTGTTTTTATTTAGTTAGCAAACTCAGCACACGTTAAGACAATCATCTGATAGAAAGTTGACGTTTCATTCTTTTAATAATAGGATCGAGAGTTAAAAAATGAAAAACAAAGATAATCTAAGAGATCAGACTTGACGGCTAACATCAGTTACAGATAAGGGGTTTAACACAACGACCAGAGAAAAACACATTTCCACACCTTTGGAAAAAAACCACAGATACAGGTGTGTCTAAAAGCTTTTCCAGCAAGTTAGGACATGAAATCAAGGATAGAAACACTCCTGTGTGACCCGTCACCGCAAACAGAAACTCCACCTGATCATAAATAAAACTTCATAAACTCTTAGATAATATTCAAAGACATGACCAGATTAGATTAGGATTAAACGCTCTTTATGGATTAGGCATTCCTGGTTATTTTGAAATAAGATCAATTGCTTTAAACATCTCCGTGTGATTTTTAACAAACTGAATAAATACTTTGATGATAAAGATTAACTCCTTTTACTTTTTAAATAAAAGCAAAAATTTAATGTTCTTAAATTAAGTTAAGTGAAGTTTTGGACAGTGAATTTAAAATAACGCAGGGCCGAGGGGCATCAGTAAAATCTGACAAAGAGCTTGTGATCTTTTTTATAAATGGTGCCCATAATTAACCATAAAATGAGATCATTCATTGATTTTAAAGGTTGGGTTTTGGATCTTGGCATGATCAGAAGATCAGTTCACTATGAATACAAAATTAAGCTTTACTTCAGGTATATTTTTAACAATACATTTTTTAGACGCTAATGACTAAGCTGTGTGTGTTATAGGTCACACACTGTGAAGCAGACGACTGTTGAGGACTGATAGGCATCATACCATCTAGCACGCTGATCTGGAGACCTTTGATGTGGATTACTGCGCTCTCTGATGGAGTATTGTTAGCTGCTGCTACTGATGTCTTGCAACCGGATCTCTCCAGCATCTATATCACCCTGTATCATCATTACCAAGTCATTGTGTACCAGTCAATTAGTAGCCCCTAAAACTGCTGAGCCTCAGCAAACAGGCTGACAGCAGGAAGGAAAAACAGCCACGGATTTGAGGAGAGTTCAGATCAGAAGAAACATTTGTGAACTTTCCATTAGGTGAATCTGTGGAATAGAAAACCTACTGCAAAACAAACCGTATTTCCACTGTCTAGCAGTCGGAGGTTGCAAGCACAAAAAAATTAAAGTTGGAGCAATTTTTACTGGTTTAAAAATAAAGCATCTCCATGCTGACAGAAGTGTGTCTCCATAACTAAAAGGATTTGATCAATTATGACCAATTTGTGGTGGTTTTGCCGTTTAATCCGAATTAAAAAAAGCAGCGCCTAAAAAAGCGGCAAAAAGAGAAAAAAGTGAAGCTTAAATCTCCTAAGGAAGGAAACAGACGTTTGTTTACAAAACAGAAAGGGAAGACTGAACAGCAGTGACATTAGGAAAACAAAAGACCAACTACAATTACAACGCTAGCTTAATAGATCCAACTATTATTCCCAAGTTCTTTGTTTTCTTTAATGAATCTCAGAAAGGCAACTATAATTTCTCTGGCTGTAAAAACCCACCGCTCCCCCTCTGCCACCTGTTGCTACTTACTGTATCCTCGCAGCTGAAATAAGGCTAATGCATGAGGGAGATGTGGTGGCCCTGCTAGCTTATGAGCCGGATGGGACAGGGCCCAGAAAGAACTAATCGCTTTTTAAACATGGCTGACTCGCTGCTTTTCCTTTTGTGAAGCTAGTTTGAACTTTTTTCCAAGTTTTTGAAGCATTTAAATTTTACTTCTGTTCACTTTCTGTGATTGCAGTATTTCTACTTTACATTTGGGTTTATTTGAGTGTGTTTTAGAGTTTTGCGTCATTCGTTTGCAGAGCATTTCGCTGCTTCTTTCCACATCTGCAGCAGTAAATGTTTGACTTATAGAGACAGTGCATTGCAGTGCCATTATGGAAAATTAATCTTATTCTTTTATCATTTACAGAATTTTTAAGATTTTTATCATTTGTCTTTTGTAGTTTAAAATGAGAAATTATTTTCACTGCAGATTGAGCAATAATAACTACTTTTCTCAGTCACGTTTCCAAACATCAGCTTTAAAGGATAACTGGGGATCCCAATGCTTGTATAATACTTTTCAATGCTGCTTTTTTAAAGTTGTGGTTTGTGTGGGTATACATGCAAAGGAATACTAACAGTAAGGGGTGAAACATGTGAGCTTCCTGTCCATCAGACAGGCAGTCCTAGAGGACAGTCGGTGTCTGCTGTCATTTCAGACAGTTAATTTCAGTCTATTAGGTCATAGATGTTTCTTTCACAAGGACACTCTATATTCTGATCCCAGGTCAGCCGTGCAAAGTAAAAATAACCAGTATGAAATGTTGACAAATCAGCGCTGTGCTTAAGTCACTTCTAAATCTTTCAGAACGTCAAAACATTCTAAATATCAGACAGTGATAACCTGATATACATGAAGGAGTTTTTATAAACTTGTATTCATTTATTACAGAACAGCGTCTAAACCACCCATGTGAAAAATTCCTTTTTGCTTTTGTTAAAGAGTGATTTAAATACGGTAAGAGGAAACAATTTTTGCAGAGCGGACTTCAAATTCAGGACTCAAGCCTCCACAACCATGAAATGTCTTAAAGAGAACCTCTCTGACAACATAAAGTAGGAAAAAAGTATCTAATGATGCTTCAGTTCAGAGTTTAACTTGAACTCTGTTATGACTTTGAAGAAACAAGATTAAACTCTCCAAAGCAAATGCAACTACATCCTGAACAAATTAATTTAAATATATAAATATCCATCCATCCATTTTCTTACAGGCTTAATCCCAAGTGGGGTTGCGAGGGGTGCTGGTGCCTATCTCCAGCTGTCTACGTGCGAGAGGCAGGGTACACCCTAGACAGGTCGCCAGTCCATCGCAGGACTATAATTTACATTTTTTTTTACACTTTTGGTATCACTGCTGCTCAAGGTGGGTCACTGTCAGCTAAGATTAAAGTCAGAGATTAAAGTCAGAATTCTGAGGAAAGAGTCAGTATGCTGAGATTGAAGTCAGTATTCTGAGATTAAAGTCAGAATTCTGAGATTAGAGTCAGTATTCTGAGATTAAAGTCAGAATTCTGAGATTAAAGTCAGAATTCTGAGATTAGAATCAGTATTCTGATATTAGAGTCAGTAGTCTGAGATTAGAGTCAGTATTCTGATATTAGAGTCAGTATTCTGAGATTAGAGTCAGTATTCTGATATTAGAGTCAGTATTCTGAGATTAGAGTC